AGGGCAAGACTTTTAGGACAATCAGATACTCTTCAACCATTCTCCTGACATGATCTCTACTGTAGTGCAGACATCCCTGTGCATTTGATTTTACTTCCAGTCTCTCTGTCTTCTTGGTACTATTTACTATTACTCCTGAAAGTTAACTCTGTTCAGTACAGATGGACTCTGTCAAGTACAGGGTCACAGATATGCCAAGGATGTCCAATCTGGAGTTGGTATTAGGCAGTGCCTTGCAAAAGAGAAATGTACTCTCTCCTGTGCATAGCACAACATTTAAAGAAACATTCACTAATATGGGATCTACAATAATGTGACCAGACTCCACTCCTGTTGACCTTTGTTGCCAAGAGGAAGAAACGAGGACTGCAGATGTGGAAGAATACAGAACAGGAGAATACAGACACCTTTAATTCGGAACAGGATTTTCAGTTTTTTGCCTCATTTGGTTCTTCTTCTATAAGCTAGGTTCTGCGAGCAAAACAGCTCCAACATTACAGACTGGCTTCTCTCAAGGGTCAGATCAGTTTAGTCTGTTGGTAGCAAAGGCTGTATCTCCAACAGGCAAGATTTCAGTTGCCTTAAAGGAGGAGGATGGAGACAAAGGAAGCTGAGAGAACATGGTTGGATCAGCACCAATCTATTTCCACCACAGAGAAACAACCAACGTACCTGTCCTTCGAGTGGGGCAAGAAAAGTAATGTTAAGAAATCTTGATGGGTGAATGGCTGTGTCTAATAGAAAAGTATCATTTAAAACAAATCACTTTCTATAAATTTCTGTAAAAACATTCTCAAATTCGGAGTTCTTACAAATTCAGCCAGGCTGTAACTCTCAACCAATTCCAATACTGAGGTTTACATTATGTGGCCTGTGGGAATCTTCCTTGGCCATAAATGCAAATAGGAAAGTGCAGAGCTCTGAATAGATATATAGTTTCTTCTTAAAAGAATGGTACCATTTTTGCTTGGAGATGCCACTTACAGATAAAATGATATATAGGTAGTTTTTTTGTGCTTTGTTTTTGTAAAATAGAATGGTTGTATTCTTTCTTCAGTGACTGCTTTCAGCCATGCTCTTTCAAAACTCCCTTCCCTCAGCCAAAGTGATACATTCTGGGAAACTTCCAAAGCTTTCAGGCACTTTAGGTATTAAAAAGTTCCCTCCAGTCACACTGAGTTTAAATCTTTAATCTCATGTCCAATGCCAACTCCATCCTCACCCTCAGTCTGGCATTTCACTTAACACTCCAGGGCTCCAGTTCCTCCGGAGTCCAGATGGTAGGGAAGAGGGATTAGAGGAAAATGGTGTAACCTTTTTTACATAAATGGTGCAGATATAATCTTCTCTTGGTCATTGGTGCCTGCTGTGTGGCAGGTGTCCAAATGGTGTTTCTTTCATGGTTTTTGCACAGATCCTTTGGATGACCCACAAGTTTCCTGGCCAGCTGACTGCTAATCTCTTCCACCAGCTCCTGTACCTGGCCATATACTTCAAACTTCTTATCGCTGGGGTCCCTCTAGCTGAATGGCTACCCTTTTGGACATGGTACCAGCAGGACCACTCAAATCCAGCTACTGTTCCTGGTCTGCATGACCCTTAGGACATACACACAACCAGATTGCTCCAGCAAGTTTTTCATTTCCAAATTACCCAGGCAAGAAGCAAGAACTGGTCTCAATCTTTATCTGTTCCCAAACTTCTGAGGAAATATCGTTGGTTTTTCCAAGAACTCTCTTACCAAATTCTGCAACAACAGAGGTGCCTGTGTGGGTCCATGAGTTTCTGCGTCTCAGCTAGATGTCAGCCTTCCCTCCCCACAGACACAGTTGGTCTCCAGGGAGGTTCTCTGCACCCTGACTCATTTGGCAGTAGGGGAGGGAAGTGAGTAGCTCTCACCTTGAACATTGAAGTTTAGGGTGATTCTAACTCCTGCACTTCTGTTCATATAAACTAGAGGGGGAAGAACAGTATTGGCCACTGAACCAGTCCTGCCAACTGGTCCTTCAAATATAGGTGATTAACACCTATTATTCTCAGCTTTGAGGCTGTAGCCTCACTTCCAAGCAACTTGAGATATCTCTTTAACATCCTGTCACTCAATGTTGCAATGCATATCCTTGCACATTTATCTTTATAAGATTTTGAGCATATGTCCAAAGGGTAAATTTCAGCATGGGATTTTGTCTTTTAACAGATATTTCCAAATTGTTCCCCAGAAAGGCTGGACTAGTTTGTACTTCCACCAGTAGTTCAGGAATATATCTGTGTCTCTACATCCTCACCAGCACCAGTTAGATATTTCCCAGGGTTTTTTTAAAAAATGGTATTGAGGAATAACTGACAAATATAATTGTATATATTTAAAGTATACAATTGTGATGATTTGATAGACATATACATTTCCTTTCCCTCCACAAGGCTCCCCAACATCTCATCTAAATCATGGCATCAGATTCAAAGTGCAGGACCTTGATACCGACATTAGTTTAAAGGCAGCTCCATTGGTCATCCAAGAGCAGGATAACCACATAGATACTTACATTCAAAATGGAAGGATACAAATAGCAGCCACTAAACCATAATACTCTAAACTGTCTGGTCATGTCACTCTGTTCCAAGTACATGGAACATTCCCTTGATTAGGCATTGTTTCTGCTCCCTGGAAATGGCCACACAGCTCACTGTGTTCCATGGTTCCTGGCTCCAATGGGGCATCCTTTCTTTCAATCCCACTTTCTCCCTGCTTCTAAAATGGATCTTATTGGCAGCTTAGGAACTTCCTATGCTGTTTCCTGCCCATGTAAGTTTCTAAGACCGGAAACCTAGAATTTGATAAATCTCAGTTTTAAAGTCAAAAAGTTATAATAGTTTAAATAAAACAAGACCAATTATACAACTATGGTCTTACATCTGTAATAGGAGATGAGTCAGCAGGATAGGAAATTCCCAAGGGCCTCTTTTAACATACCTTGCAGTCTCTTCCCTCAGATAAATCCTGAATCTGTGAGATTCTAGAAGATGTTTCTTGGTTTCAATTCCCCACACTCTGGGATTAAACCAGGGACATAAATATTTTAAGAAACAGTGAGTTTCTACACGTGACAACTGGGTTAAGGATCTCCTGGGTGACCTGCAAACTTTGTCCTCCTTCAAATGATTAATGATGACAAACATTTATATTATATAATATCTCCATCAAGTCCCAGATGTCTGGGCCAAATTCTTTCCATTCTGGGAGAACAGATGTTCTTGTTTGTCATTGTTTTCTACTGTAATGGTTTTTGATGCCCTCATTTCATTTCTCTAGGATTATTTGTTTTCTTATTCTTTTTTGAGAGGTTTTTAGTCAAAGCTTCTTGAAAATTCAAATAAATATATGTCTGCCGAGTTTCTTTTGCTTTGTATTTAAAAAATCTTTTAGAGAATCTTTCTGATAGGCTTGCTCTTGGTCAGAGTTCCGCTGCTTACCCAACCAGGTTACAGTTACCCAGCTCTTCATGTTCACAAGGGGGAGCCACAGCAAAGGGAGAGAACTATATTTGTCCTTATCCTCCAGTTTGGAGCCAGAGGCCACATGTGACTTTGCCACAGAAATAGTTGCCATTGGGAAATAGAGTACTGTATTTCCTTCGTGTTTTGGCCTCATTTTGCATTTCTTGCAGAACCTCAGCAGGCTCAACATTGCTCAGTCTGAAAGACTGGTGGGCTCTGAAATCGCTTTGCAATTTCTGTCTTTAGATACTTCCTATCTTATTGCATTTTAAGGGCATAGTCTCCCTTGGGAAAAAAACACCACCAATTGCTCTCACTACCTTTTGCACAAAAAGGACCCACACCAGAAATTTCAGGTGGTTTTTAAGGTCCAATTTCCCACAATGAACAGTTTTAACTCTCTTTCCACTGCCTTTGTGAAACCTTCCCGTGGCCTGGCAGGACCTTTGAACACTACCCATTACAGGAAAGCAAAGGAAGGGCTGCTGTGTACAAACTGAAACAGCAAGTTAAGAGTCTGAACTTCACCTGCCTTTATTGAGCAACCGTGGAGTGCTTCCTTTGCCTCCTCCATTCACCAGGAGAGAGAACATTTCAACCTAGAAGGCCACCCACTTTTGCTTAGAGGTCTAGGTCATGCCTTTGACTTGGGGAAGCCAGAGTGGCCTAACTGTCCAATCCCCCAGCCTCAAGGACAGTGTCCCCAGGATGGTTCTGGTCTAGGCCAACTGTGGTGTCCGTGGAAAATATAATTTTTCTGTCAAGAATATTAGGGCTCCTAGTCCCGTTGCAATGCAGAAGGGAAGGTTGGCTGCACTGTTTTGACTTGAATTTTGTAGTGTATCAGACAGATACGTGAAATGGAATTTTTTAAAAGTCTATGTATTTGGTGGTGGGAGGAGGGTTCTGGAAATCACGGGCCTTGGCATGCCTACTTCTGAGTAAAAAATCCCTGCATAGGTTAAAAGCGCTTCTTCACATGTAGGGATGTAATCGCGTGGCCTGTGTTCCAAAAATGGTGATCACAGGACGCGAGCCTGCACGTTGCGGTGTTCCGCGAGGAGCACGGGGCCGGAACGACCGCCGGTATCGGGTCCAGGCTGCGTTCCCGCCCAGGCGACGCGCGGCGCACTCGCACACCCCACCCCCACCCCCGCGCGGCCGGCCCGGCAGCGGTGGGCGGGCCCAGGCCGGGCGGGCGCGGCGCCCCGGCTCTCTCGGAGGAGGCGGCCGGCGGCACTAGAGGGAGCTGCTCGCGCCGCCGCCGCCGCGCCCCCCCCCCGAGCGCCGCCCCCCAGCCGCGCCGCCGCGATGGCGGAGGACAGCGAGTCCGCGGCCAGCCAGCAGAGCTTGGAGCTGGACGACCAGGACACGAGCCGGCCCGGCAGCAGTGGGCGGGCCCAGGCCGGGCGGGCGCGGCGCCCCGGCTCTCTCGGAGGAGGCGGCCGGCGGCACTAGAGGGAGCTGCTCGCGCCGCCGCCGCCGCGCCCCCCCCCCCGCGGCCCCCACGCCCGCGGCCCGAGCGCCGCCCCCCAGCCGCGCCGCCGCGATGGCGGAGGACAGCGAGTCCGCGGCCAGCCAGCAGAGCTTGGAGCTGGACGACCAGGACACGTGCGGCATAGACGGGGACAATGAGGAGGAGACGGAGCACGCCAAGGGGTAGGCGCCCGCCGCGGGCTCCGCTCGCTCGGACGCCGGCCCGGGGGCGCGGCGGGCCCGGCGGCCGCTCGGAGGGGCGCGGTTGGCCCCCGTGTGGGCCGGCCGGGCTCCGAGACCGCGGCGAGGTGCGGAGCAAGCGGCGGAGGCGAGGCTGCAGGGTGGGCGGGAAGTGTGGGGCCCGAAGCGGGGGCCCGCGCTGTCACCTGCCGCGCGGCTGGCGCTTGCCCGGTTCCGGCCTGCGGCGCGACGTGCAGCCTCGGCCAGCGTGTGCCTCGGTGGGACCGAGGGGAGGCGCGGCACCCTTCCCTTTGTGGCGGCCCCGTGGGGGTGGGGGCCCTCCTCCGCTCGCTGTCATCCTCCCTCAAGCCGTTGTAGATCCACCCCTCCCCCGGCCGCCGCCACCCACAGAGGAAAGCAGCGCCCAAGGTGGGCAGCGGGTAGAGATTGCGCCCGGCGCTCCGGCGCTGCTGATGGGGAACTGCGGAAAGTTGTGCGCCCCCGGCCCGCCCGCGTGGAGCCGGGCCGGGAGCGCGGGGGCCGGGACGCAGGCTTGCCGCCGCCGAGCAGTCCGCGGAGCTCTCAGGAGCGGGTCCGACGTCCCAAGCGCGGCTCCCTTGTGGGGCAGCTCCCTCAGACCGGGCCGATCCTGCTGGCAGACGGTGCTGGAGCTGCCAGGCCAGACGCGCCGACACCTGGCCGGCGACTTACCCCGTTTCACTGCTCCCATGCCTCCCCCTTGACTTGCTCTCCCCTTGGAGAAAAGATTGCTTCTGGTTACGGATGGTATTCAAGTTCTGATTTTAGAGGCAGGGGTTCATTTTAGAGACTGGTGTCTTTAAAGGTGGTGCTTACATTGCCTCTTACCCCGTTGGATTCAGACTGCGCTGGCACACACCGCTGTTGCTGCCCCTTAGAAGTGAGAATTTGCAAACCATGGTGACTGAAGAATTGGGTCAGCTTAAAAACATGATAGGGAGGGCCTTAGTCACAGATGGCTTATTTATTCAGTTCATGGAGATGATTCTTTAAATGATTGATGATTTAAACTGTAAAGCATTTGCATTCTATTTAACGTCTCCTTGAAGATGTATTTAAGAAAGGAACTTTTACTGAGCTTTGATGTGTTATAAAATATTAAGAGAGATCAAGGAAAAGAAAAGCTGACTAAATGTTTCTCCCATTTATTTGCAGGTTGCCTTTTTTATTTCTGCAGTGAATACTTCACTGACAGCTCCAAGTACCCAATGTTGTAATTCAAGTCTAGGACATTTTATTAAAAGAGAGGAAAGGAAATTCTACAGCATTCTGAGCCTGAGTTCTGTTTATGCAGTGCTATGGCTGCAGTGATAGAAATTTGCCTGTGATTGATAGCTAAATATAAATATGTTTTGAAATAATAAGCCATGGGCGCAGGCGCAAATGGGAGGAATTACCCAAATAACTTAAGAACTCGCCCCTTATCTTTCTGGGGAGGCCCTGCGCACTTCTCTCTTCATTGTAATTTCAGTTTATTATTCATTTTTTTTGAAGCTTTGATTTTTTTTTTGCTTTCACAGTCAGGAATGTCCATGATACAAAGAATTATTCAGTGTGCCCATTGATCTGGGCCGGTCCTGAGAACCTGATGAAGTTCTCGGATTAGCACCCAAAGGCATCTCCATGCCCTCTTCAGAGGTTTTCAGTTTTGTGTGTGACCACACTACTTATATGTTAGCATGGCTACTCAAAATTTAGAGACACCCAGTGGACTGAAATGTTTTAACCAAGAGCCAGTAATGTAAGTTTCTAGTGGGAAGAGATTGATATAATGGATTTACTGTAGTCTATTAAAACATTATTAGGAGATTAAAAATCCCAGTTGCTGCAATTGTTGGACTGCTTTTTTGGATTTGAGTTTAGATAATGTGTGCCAAATTTGGGGGAATAATTGTATTTTATTTGGCATGTGGACTGATGATACGGCTTAGTAGAAACCTGGATTTTTTTCTCAAGTAGATTGAGTATGTAAATGTTAAAATTTAAATGGCTCCTCTTTTCTATGCTTGGTCTCTTCATTCCCCACCAATTTAAGTGAAAACCTTTGGAAGAATGAGTAGGTAAAGTGCTTTACTTTTTAAAGGTGAATTAGCACATTGAGGCTGCAAGGCATGAGTCAGTACACCAAAGAAACAATTTGCTCAATAGTGCCCTTGTAGTCAAAAAGAATTAAAATACCCAACAATTGAGTATAATGTATTCATTAGTTGTTTGAGACATATTTAACTGAAACTAGAGCCTCAGATAAAAGGGAAATACCAAATAAGATTATTTTGCACCAAAATGTAAATACTATTATGGATGCTTTTCTTTTATTTTCATAGAATTTTCTTTATGGACAAAAAAGAGTATTTCATTTTTGTGGATGATGCTGAATGTCCACAGATGAAATATATTTTCTGTTCAATTAAATGTAGTGGCTTTTATGTTTAATTAAAAGCAGTAAAATACTTGAATCTCCCAATTTCTATCCTATTTTTCATGGAAAATTTGCTGTTGAACTTTTTGGTCCACCCAAGTATGAAAATGGCATATCATTATATAAATATCATGAATTCAAAAAAACCTCGGGGAAGGGAAGGATTATCAGTTTTCCTCAGTTAGACTATATTCAAATCATGTTGTTTATTTTTGTCAACAAAATAGAATTAGACTAATAAAGGATTACCTAGAAAGATCCTTCAAATAACTGTCTTTAATTAATGATTGACAATGAGGGGAAGTAACCAGGTCTTTGTAAAGAGCTTAAGGGAACTTGAAAACTTTCAAGCAATTCAAAGTTCTAAGGTAATCTTGTTTACACTACTATTTTCTTTTTCAAGCAAAGACTTTCTACATAAATGAAAATTAACTTCAATCCTGCTTCCTGTGTGAATTATTAGAAATGGTCTAGAGTACTGAAGGTCTCTGTTCTACAGTGGGTGGCCATGATACTGAAGAGGTTATCTATAGTGTGACTGCCTAGGAGCTTAGGCAGGTGGGGCCTGAGGTTAGGTAGGATCTTTAGAACTCCTCTAAATTTGATGTATACATGCCTTCTTTTACTTTCTTCTGAAGGGATCTGGGGAAACCATTGAAGACAGGGCAAACTGTTGAAGAATTGACTAACCTTGTCTTATCCATGCCCCGCTGACAAGCATCTCTTTTTGTAAACTATGCTGGGTAGTGGTCATTCTGTTTTGCAGCTCACCACCTCATGTTAAGCATAGTTCTTGTCCACTGTTAGAAAAAGGTCACACAGTTGGTCCCAAATAAAATTAGTGTTTAAGTGGGCAACAAAAGCAAATCTCTCTCCTTGCTTTATCAACACTGACTTTCAGAATGCATATTTCCTAGACAAATGGATGTTTTTCATTTCTTCCTACCAAGTGAGCTTTTACCTCCATATTCATTATGGTGGGATAGGAGGCAGCTACCAAGAATATTTATGTAAGGGACAAAATAAGTACATATGAATGTGCCTTTGTTGGTGGATAAATGACTAAGTTATCCCTTGGGGTAACTATGAAATACCTAAGTGTTTGGGGGTTATTCCCAGACATTTTTAAGAAAGTTTTTTCCCTAGAAAAATTAAAGATCTAGTATTTGGCAAAGATTAAAACTTTAGAATTCTTTTAACAAAGAACATAACCTCTCTTCTTCTACCCCCAACATGGGAAAAATTGAATAATCTGTGCAGTATATTGTCCCTTCTGGGACTGTACCTGTGTATTGTTGATATTGGGAACTTCTCCTAGTTAACTATATGAGATCAATGGGGAAATGCAAAAAATTACCATTGGTAAGTCTCAATAGATTTTTGTCATTGAAAATTTAAGGGATGAGAATTTAAGCTTCCCTTTCTCAAATTTGATCGGTTATCAACTGTATAAATCTAAATGGAAAGGTGTGTTAACAGCCTTTGCCTAAGGAACCACCTCAGTTCAAGAAATACAGTTCGAAATTATCAAGTATCTGCTGAGACTTGCATATGAAATGGTGATATCACCCTTGGGCCCAGAAGAATTTTTTTCTGGAGTTTGCCTAACTGTAGAAAATATCTAAATACAACACATATTTTGTTGTGAAATTGCTTATTAACACGAGTGTACATAATATATGTATGCTATAGTCCAGCTAACTCAGTTAACTCAGTTTGAAACCAAGTTATGTACCATGTTCAAGAAAGAGGTTGGTTGAGTGGCTGGTTCATTGTTATGCCATTTGAACATAGGTTATAAGTTTTATTCACTTATTGTAAGAGTAAAATATGCTTATTAAAGATTCAAACAGTAAAGTGTACAGAGAGTGAAAGCACCACGGTCATCTTATATCCTAGAGTCCCTGCTAATGGACAGTTTAGTCAGCTCACATTTTAATAAATATAAAAAAGTGCATATTTAACATACATAGGATCATAGTTTACATGGATTCGTTTCCTAGTATTTTTCACTATTAGTGTTGTCTGCTAGAACTTTCTGTAGTGATAGAAATGCCCAGTACAGAGACTGTTAGCCACATTTCAAGTGGCTAGTATGACAAAGGGACTGAATTTTAAATTTTATTCAATCTTAATTAATTTAAATTTAAATAGCACTTTCTGGGTAGTGGCTATCTTATCGAACAGCTCAGATCATATCCTGCCTTTGAATTTTATAAGTTTTTGTAGTACTCAAAATACTTCTTTACTCTTTTCTTGTCTTTTACAGAATGTCATTTTCATTCGTCCTCTTTTTTCCTCCAGTGGTTTAGAAGTTCTGTGTCTTAGTTTTCTTCTTCTGGGAATGATCTTTAAATTTTTAATAAGCGTGTTTTTATTTGTATTTCTCTATCAATGTCAAGAATTAACCATTATCTAAAATAGTCTACCATGGAACAAGACAAAATGGGTAGGACTTTTGACTTCTTTCTTTTCATTTCCTAGGTTTTGTTGAAGTAATCTGAAATTTTAATTCCATGTGGCTTCTTTTATTTTTGCTCTTGTA